AAAAAAGAAACAAAAACAAACTCCTTGAAAAAAGAATGCCACGCCTGTCGCAGGTGCAGGCGTTTTAGCATCGGGGGCGTTTTTTATCGGGGGGCGTTTTATCATCCTCGAAGGGAGGGCCTCTTAAAAAATGCAGTGTTTTAACGTCACAATCTTTATGGTTTATGAGACATTTGCAGCGCACCAGAACATGGTCTATTCTGAAGCTAACATGTGACAAATTTCGATGAGATAAGATTGCATTTGATAGCCATTGTTTTTCAGATATATAAGGGTGATAAAGATGCATATATCTGGCAAGTAAAGGGGCAAAAAAACAGAAACAGGCTTACCAAAAGTCGCTGCGACGCACCTGATACCTCAGGTTTCGTGAGTTGTTGTTTCAAGAGGGCTTCTGCTTTACAAGAACATTAAAAAATAAATAACATTATTGGTTTGGTAAAAAAGCGATGGGGCCTCTTACCGACCCTGGGCGTCTTACACGGATCTCCCCTACTGTCATTTAAATCTAAATGTCCTTTGACAAAGCAATTGACCTTTAAGATATGCACTGTTATTAACTCGAAACAGATTATTTTGGCGGTTTATGTGTCTTTAATCAAGTGGTTGCCTTTTGCTGAGAACAAGGCATACACGCCGCATATCACCACCAATACCGCAACACAGCTTAGATTTCAAAGTTGGCATTAATTCTTACCCGTTTTGACAAAGAAGGGAGCTGTCCTCATCACGCTTTTTCGATGCACGTTTGCCAGCTAAGTGACTTGTTCTCTCTCAAATTGTGTTGGTGGGTAAGGTAGTAGGTATGTACCAACTGATTTCAGAGGATCGTATCAGCTTGGAAGAGCTCGCCCTTAAACTGCAGAGCAGTTGGCCGGGCAACTAGGGGAGACCGGGGTTATTTGGGCCAGTTTTTACTTTAACCCGCGCCGGGCCGGTGCTCTGAGATTCCGCGCCGGGCCGGGGGTGTCTGAACACCCCCTTCTAACTCGGCTCCTGGGCCACGTAGCGACACGCTGTAAGCGGCAATCGAAAGAACGTCCAAAATGAGGACGAAAACATGTCGGTCATTTTTTGGGTCAGGTCAAAGGTCAGGTCACCAGAGGTCACCAAAGGTAAAATGTTGACTATTTCAACATTTTGGAAACTGCCAACAGCTATCTCGGGAACGGATAGAGCTACAGCGCCGCGGAAAAGCGCATTTGATAGCACATTTACAGACCTTTCTGAGTAATGTTCTCAGATTTGATCTCAGGTCAATGGTTTAGCCTCCAGAGGGCAAAAACTCCGAAAATAGCCGTTTTTACGAAAAGCGTTTTTTTTTAGCAATAACTTCTGCCTCAAAAGAGCTATGACATTACTTTTGCCAGCATCGTGTTTCTCTCGTCGAGACGCGTCGAATGAACTATAATTTGACCTTGAAAGGTTAACCTGAAAATTTGACCTCAGGTCAAGGTCATGACCTGACCGGAAAAGGTCATGTTGCATATAAGTCGATCCGCAACGTCGAGCCTAACACATCTAAGGCGTTCTCAGCGCTCTAGCACGCCTCCATCAGAAGTTATTAGCAAAAAACTGTTAGATTCTGCTCGTGATCTGAGATGACCTCGGGGACATAATGAGGGGTCACAGTTGCCATTTTCCGGTTCAATGTGTCAATTTTACCTACATCGCGATGTTTGAGAGTGTCTAGAATAGCGCTTGTGCAAAACAGACGCTTTTCAACTTTCTCCCATTGACTTATAATGGAGAGGCCGCAAAATTGACCTGACCTTAGGTCACCGATATCAAAATTCTGAGATATACATTTTATAGATAATGTTGTTCTAATTAATCGCTGAAAGTTTCAAGGCAATCGATCAATCGGTGTAGCTATGATGAGCATTCTTATTTTTCTGAGGTGAGGTCACTTGGCGTGACCTGGTGACCTGACCTAAGGAGACCTGGGTCTGAAATTTTCACAACATGTGCGGAAAAGATGCACGAACAGGTGTGCCAGAACGGGCGTGAACAGGTGTGCCGCAATTTTTGAGATATCTGCGAAAAACCGCAGTGGGGTGTTCAAACACCCCCGGCCCGGCGCGGGTTAAGCGTCATAACTTCGGTATAACTATTGAGTATACATATCATTATTTGTTGGCTATTAACCGAGAGCTTATTTCTGTATATTTTAAAGAAGACTTAGTATAAGAGAGATGGTAGTATCGTCTTGGTGTCATTTCTGATCAAAGCGACCATCCTCCAATGTCCCAACTTACCCCGCAGGCGGGGTGAGTCGGGCCAGGGGTTGGGGCAAGTCGGTGCACTAGGAAAAACAGTTTATCTAAACACATTTTTGTTCATGTTTCACATGAGCAGTCATCGCTTATCCATGCGGGCATGTTTATCAACATTTAATGACAAAACGCAAACGTTTGCAGTACTCCTGCGGCAAACAAAAACGCACACACGCAAAATGTGTATGTATGACCAGCTTTAGGTGCTTTTACAAAATGCACCAACCTCACTCATTCGCTCTCCGAGTAACAGTTTTGACGGATGAAGATTCTGCTGCCCCCTGTGCATAGCGTATGTTCCCAATATTCACACTGCAAGCATTTCTCTCTCGGCTTGCTTTTGACAAATGTAGGAGGGCTCCTTCTCCTGTGCCGCCGCCTATTGCCCGGGCGGCTATATATGTTGGCAATGAATGAACTGCCGCCAATGAATGGACTGCCGCTCCGAGACCGACTGAGTCAGAGTCGGAAGTGGAACTCTGCCGCTGCGAGCGCCCGCGGCTACAGCTCACGCGCCGTGGGCTATTTGCCGTGCTCTGCGGCGACGGCTGTGGCAGTGATGGCGGCTGCTGATTGGCTGGCGCTGCGACGCCAGGGCAGCCGCCGATTGGGTTTTCTCCTGGAACCTTCTCGGACGAAAGGTCGTCTGAAGGTCATTGTCATTGACGGGGGGATTCGGTCTGGAGCGGGGGGCTAGGCTTGGAATTGGGACTTGAACTGAACTTTGACTTTGGCTTCGAACTGGTCTTGCTTGCCAATACAATGTGACTAATGTTTTGCATAAAGTCTATCACGGCCATGTCTACACAAACATGCCCAACTTGCCCCACATCAACCTGGCCCAACTAACCCGAAGCGCCATTTTTATTTTGGAACCACGTGACCAATTCACAATGATTTGGCGAAGAACGGTTGAGAGTGTACTCATAGTCATAGCCAAAATGTCCGCAGGTCTCTCAGGCGTAGCGAATTTGCAATGTTTCCACTATCAATGACACTAGAAGAGAATATTTTCAAAGCAAGAAAATCACTTTTGGTACCTGAAAACACATTTTTAGCGATTATTAACCCTCGCCCATGTAGGGGGGGGGGGGTTGGTGCACCCCCTGAGGTTTTTCTTAGCTACACGCCGAACCGTTTCAGATAGCCTGCTCAAATTTTCAGTACCCTATGGGGCATCCTTTGCGGAACTTTTGGTATTTTTTTTTGTCAAGGTCATGTCAGGTCACGGAGTTATGACGTCATAAAGGGAACAACCTCCGGCCAGATTTACGCTAAATTGGAGATTGCTTCACATTGGTATAAATGCCGACTGACCTGACACACTGATGGATTGTTTTAGAATCATAACTGGCTGATTTGACATTGGCACAATGTCCGTTGACCTTTTCAAGGTTACTAAAGGTCAAGATCAGATCAGTGACCTCGGTTGACCTGTAATGACTTCTTGCACTTGTATGCCTTTTCGGGGTATTTTGATGCCCTGAATTCGAATTTGCTATCCATTTCAGGCATCGTCGGTTGTTTCTTGTAGTTCATTTTGGGTCAGGGTCAGGTCAGTGACGTCACACGCCTGACGTGACCCAGTGCACAAATGACCTTGCAGACTTCCGATGCTCCCAACGCATCATTTTTAGAGTTATGACATCGAAATATACACCAAACGATAGAGAATTGATCAAGGATCACGATAGTGAAGGTTTCAAGTCGATATCTCTTACCGTTTTGCCGCAATCGGCGCGGAAATCTGAAAAAGTTAGATTTTTCCGAAAATTTGACCTTTGACCGGTCATAAGTAGGTCAAATGTTGACCTAGGACCAAAAAATATACCACCAATCGCGAGATCTCGCTGAGAGCAATCCGCTGGTCTTTTCCGCTAAGCTCTACGACGCTCCGTGTTCAAACGCCAGGGGTGTCGCACCAACCCCCCCCCCCCCTGCATGGGCGAAGGTGGCAAAACACCGTTTACGGGCGAGGGTTAACAGTACTTACCTCAGGACGCGCCGACACCACGTTGACAAACAGACGGCGTTACTGTGCATGCGCAAAATAAGCTTGAACGCCAACTGCCGAGAAGTATTGGAAATATCCCTTCCGTCCCAACTTACCCCTGGCACCAACTAGCCCCGGTCTCCCCTACTGCGTCCCTCCCCTGTTAACCCGCGCCACGCTGGGCTATTCAGCCATACGCTCCCCGCTTGGGGGGGGGGGGATATTCTGCATTTCTGGCAAACTTCCGAACGAATGGTCGCAAAAAGAAGCGGTAAACGGTACTAAAGAACTTTGAACAAAAAAGACCTTTGAAACGAAAAATATTTTGCCAAGTAGGTCAAAGGTCATATATTACTGAATGGCTCTGGGAAAGAAAAATGGAAACCAAGGTCTTTAAAAATCGTAGGCACCAGGCGTAGCCGAATGCCGGAGTTTTTTTTTTTTTTTTGAAGACCAATGTATCAATTTTCCAGAGTAAGCTCAGTAAGATGTTCAAGATATTTCCCATACGTAGTCGTTTAACGTTGTAGTCGTTGACCTGCAGTTCCTTGAAGTTCGTTCGTCGTTTAAGTTTGAGTTGAGGAGTGGTGCAGTTTTAATTTGAACCTTTGGGGGGAGGGGAGTGTGAATTTTATGACCGGCTGTATTTATGGTTTCATTGCTGGTGCCTCGACGTAGAGGCGATGGTGCGCGTTTCGCATTGACCATTGACATCAATTCTTTTTGCACAGGGACTCCACAGTGCCCGGATGGATTCACGATCAATCCAGAAAACCAACTATGCGATGGTATGTCATCGCGCAAGGATTCTTCCTTGAGTGGTTTGAGCCGTACAGGGTATCCGGAAAGTCCTGGCGTCATCTTTGAACGCCGTCTAACGCGCGCTGTGATTATTGGACCTTTGGCCAATCACCATAGGTATGACACCTCGTTGATCGCTCTGCTAGGGTCGTGTAAATATGACCTTGAAATCGTTTTCAGTGATATGTAGATGGGCGAGAATGCGACTTGTCGCGGAATACCTGCGCGCGGCGGCCGGGTGCGGCTTAAAGGGACCCTCCCACCTTCAAAAAAGTTAATGAATTGGCATGAAAGTGATGTCGCTCGGTTCAGAAAGAGCAAAAACGAATACCTACACCAAATTTCACCGAAAAATATTCACCGGTTTTCAAGATATTACTCTTTTACTTTTGTTTCCTTTTTGGGAACTCCGCTGTTCCTAGCGACTTCATTTTGGAAGTGCGGTGTTTGCGGCAGATGTTGCGCGCAAATAGCATATATCCACCACTGCTTCACAAAGATGTTAGTATAAGGTTTTAAAATCGTTAGATCACCGCTGACGTCACAAATTCTAAGGGGGCATCCTAATGCATTAGCCCCTTAGAATCCGAAAACTGCAAGTTTGAAATTCCGTATCTCCGAATTAAAGCATATTTCGACGTTGTGAGTGCCCAAACCGGTATTTGCAGGCCATGGCCACCAATATGGCTATCTCAACTCAAAACTAATGTTAAGGTGGGATGGTCACTTTCAACGAGGCGCGAGATGCAACGCGATGAGGCATTTTTCGGCGAATGGTCGAGGAGGTAAAGTTTTATTCCGACTCGGGAATTCCTGAGAAAATTCTTGAGAAAAAATTCCTGAGAGAATTCCTATCCTCAGGCCGGTACGACCCGGTATGTCAAAACTGCCGAGAACGGAGCGGCATTTCAGCGCGGCAATCGAAGAAAATCCAGAGGTCTGATGGACAAAAATGTTCCATGATCTTCGTCGATGTCAAATAAATGAATGGTCCACGGTAAATGGCTGGTCCACGAGGTCCACGCTGGACAGACACATCGACACACCCGAGGGTCAAGGCGACTTTCCCTAAGGGTCAGTTCGCACTTCAACAGTACGGATCGCCCTCCAACAACGCCGCTGCCGTTCAAGCCAAACTGATAGAGGAGCTCAGCGGGCCAGATTACCGTGGCGAAATAACTTTAGGCCGCCTTACTCTCCTAACCCTAACCCTTGCCGGAGCTATTGGTTTTCTACATACGCGCCGGCCGAGGGGGGGGGGGGTACAACCCTCTCGCCGTTATGCCCCTAATAAAGCGAGAGCGTCGCGGAAAAACGAGCGTGTGCGCCGTTACAAGACACAGCGATTGGTATACGATTTTAAGGTCTCAGGTCAACCAAAAACCTCTGAGGTCAGGTCAAGTGGCCTAAGATACGGGCTCGGTGTTTGGAGAATACCTTCTCAAAAAATGATCACAGAGCCGCGATTTTGACAGCATCGTGTTTGCCTTGCTCAGACGCGTCGAATGGTATGCCTTTTGTTTACCTGAGGTCAAGTTAAAAGCCTGTGAGCTTGTGATAAAAGTGTTATTCTTGTCTTCACCCAAGAAGGTCTTATTGCATACTTTACCAATTACCTCTTGATCGACGTGTGAAGTTATCGTGTAAGTGTTTGGCCATATTTGAGACCATGTTTGGCCGGAGTCGCGATTCGGCGTATCTCGGCTCACATTATCCGCGCGTTTGCAGTTTTTTGTTTTGTTTTTTCGGTGGTTTAAAACGGTCAAACATGTGAAATGATGTTGGTCCCATCCTTGTGATAGTCAATGTCACCTTAGGGTGAAGTCAAGTCATTGACCTTTGATGACCTCGGTGCTTTTTTCCGAGTTTAACATGTTTCTAGCATGGGTTCGTTTAGCTGATTTTGAATTTAGTATTTAGCAACTATTTGAACATTTACGAAGTAGTTTTGCTGCCTTCGTATTATGTTACGTAGCTGCCGGTGGTAGTGGACACCTGCTATACGGACGTCCATAAGTATGTACCCCTACTGGTTGACCTGACCTGACCTGACCCGGCCTAAATGCATGAAGACATCATTTATGATCCAAACTAACATGAAATTCGTGATTAGCATCCCAGAAAACCCTGTTACAGCCTTACTTTAGGAGGTTCTGACAGGTCCTGATTTTCCCGTCTTTTGGGTCTATGACCTGACCTGGGCGGTGTTTCACGGCACGCTGCCAGCCGCTGCCAGCGCTGTTGGCGCTTTTGGTTTCCATGGAGACATCAACAAGCCTATACCTACAACACTACCGAAGGTTGACCTTAGCTCGTGGAATGCGCTGGCAGCGGCTGGCAGCGCGACCGTGAAACACCGCCCTGGAAGGTCAACCAATGACCAAAGACTTTAAAATCGGGTATCATCGGCTTCCTCTAGTCACTCACGGGCAACACTTTTGTTTTCTCCGCGAACTCTAGCTTGATCAGGGGCCGAACGGCAGGGGGGTCCAAGTTCCAACCGACACCTCCCAGCCCGCGAAGGCTTCGCCAAGCACCGACCCGGAGCGGGCTAACTGGTCGACAAAAGCAATTTGAAGTGTTTTCAAAGTAATATAAAGGCACGGGTCGGGTGGGCTGCCATTTCTATATATATTTTTTTAGTTGAAAAAATATCGTTTCAGGGCTGTGACGAAAAATAAGTGGCTTAAATCCGATGAGAAAACAGGATTTAGGGGTACCATAGGTTTGGTTTCTTGCATGAGTTGCCCCCCCCCCCAAACACAAGTCAGGATCCGCCATTGCTAGTACCTACAGCTAGTGACAAAATCGCTAGCGTCAAAATGCCTTGTGAAGCAAAATAGCCAGTGCTTCAAAACAGCTAGTGACAAAATCGCTAGCGTCGAAATAGCTAGCGAAGAAAAATAGTGGATCAAAAAAACTACTGGAGGCCATACGTCAAGCCGCCAAGATAGAAGAGGAGGCCAAGACCAGTGTTCGCCATGGGCTGCAAAACCCCAGTCCAGCCCGGCCCAGGCCCATTGGGCTCACAGCCCGGCCCAGCCCGAGCCCATTCACGGTAAACTTAGGTGTCAAAGCCCAGCCCAGCCCGTCAAAAATGAATTGATTAAAAATTATTGAAACCATACAGGTGGCATATATGGTATGGTGTAATCCAAATTCCAAAGCTATAGCAAAGAAACAATGTTTTGAGAGCTGCATGCACAATGCACCTTGCACCTATTCCCTTTTCTATAACTCTTTTTGAGTCTCGCACAGTAATAAGCTAGTTACGGTTTTTGTTTCACTTGTTAACCCCAAGTCCACCTTACAGTTCCTAGCCCAGCCCATCCACAGCCCATCGATCCTTATTATTTGAGGGCCCAGCCCAGCCCGAAGCCCAGCCCAGCCCATGGCCCATTGGGCTGGCCCGGCCCATGGCGAACACTGGCCAAGACCCGCAGCTTCCGTGAGTTCGCCTATACCACGCTTAACAAGCCGACTAACATCGGGAGAGTCACGAAGGTGCTACGCAAGATGGAGGGATCGGTGCAGGCGTGCCCCGGCCACGCTCTCCAAGGGGACCGCGGCCTCGCCGTGGAGGACCTAGAGAAGGCGACCTCCTTCGTGCGCACCTACTCCATAGTTAGCCGGCAGGTCCGTAACAGGAAACGGGACCGCGTCGTAAGACAGGAGCTTAACCAGCTAAGCCGCCTCTCGTGCACCGCGTGCGCGGGTCAGAAAGAAGACGGCGGCTGCTGCGGCCCCTTCACGGAAAACGAGCTGAACAATCAACTGAGGAAGATGAGCGATAAGAAAGCCTCCGGACCAGACAATATCTGTGCCGAGCATCTCAAGCATTTCGGCCCGAGAGCCAAGGCCTTGCTCCTGCGCGTCATCAACCAGTCCTGGTTGCGGGTAGAGGTGCCGGATGACTGGCGGAGAGCCGTCATCGTCCCGAACCCCAAGGCTGGAAAGGACCCCAAGTTAACCCTCGCATGTGTGCGGCGTTTGCCAGCTTCTAATGTGTAGGGGGGGGGGGTCGGTTGGACCCCCCCCTTGCCGTTTGGCCCCTGATCGAGCTAGAGCTTCGCGGAAAAAACGAGCGTGTTGCCCGTGACGAGAGGAAGCCGATGATACCCAATTTTAAGGTCCTAGGTCATTGGTTGACCTTCCAGGTCAGGTCAATGACCCAAAGTCGGGAAAATCGGGACCTGTTAGAAAGTCGTAAAGTGTGGCTGCTAAGGGGTTTTTCGGGGTGCTGATCACGAATATTGTGTTAATTTTGATCACAGATGATGTCTTGAAGCATTTAGACCAGGTCGAGTCAGGTCAGGTCAGGTCAACCAGTAGGCGTCGTGACGGGTATTCGTAGTACGTGTCAACCGCCTCTGACAGCTTCGTAACATGTTACGAAGTCACCAAAACTACTTCGTTAATGTTCAAATGGTTGCTAAATTCGAATTCAGCTCCAAAAACTAGCCTAGAAACATGTAAAACTCGAAAAAGTGAACCGAGGTCACCCGAGGTCACCAAAGGTCAATGACCTGACCTGACCTTCAAGTGACCTTGACACACACGGGAGTAACATCAAATCACATGTCTGAACGTTTGAAACCACGAAAAGCTTGCAAACACGCGGCTAGTGCGAGCCGACATACGCGAAATCGCGATTCCGGCCAAACATGGTCTCGGCAAAGAGGTCACAGGTCAAAGGTCATTTGGGTCAGGGTCATGAAATTTTCAGGGTAGGTGTAAAATTGATCAATTCGAGGGTACTGAAAGTTTCGTCGCGATCGGCCGCTTTTTACGCGAGTTATTCGCGAAAAACCATGGGGGGGGGTCCATCCGACCCCCCCCCCCTACACATGCGAGGGTTAACATCAAGGCGCTACCGACCCATCGCGCTGACGTCACACCTGGCGAAGCTGACGGAGCGAATGGTGTCTGGCTCTGCACGCCTGACCTACCTGACGGAGAGGGAGGAGATGGTCCCATCTGAGCAGGT